AAGGAAAAAACAGAAGCACAAAACAAAAAACTACATTACAGTGTCTGAATCAAAAGGTGAAAATAGAAGCAGGATACGAAAACTGCATTACAGTGTCTGCATTCAAAAAGTAAAAACTAAACTAGTAAACAGACACTAAAGCGAAGAGTCTGAACCAAAGACAAGCTTAAGCAAAAAATGCACACTACATTTTAATGTCTAAATTCAAATGATAAAAACTGAACCAGGAAATAAGTGTTTCAATGTACATAAACTGAAAAATTCAAATTCAATTAATAACTTCCTTGCAATTTTTCTTGTTATGCCTTTTCACCAAACCACATCAACTGCACTTCAAGGCTTTCTTCATATCACAAAAAGATTTGATCCTCTTTGTTGCAGATCTTCCGGGAAGTCGCTTAGTAATTGGAAGGAGCATAACTTGATCTTGATCAACTGAACCATCATTGTCCAATCCTTTCCCAATTGTTGGTACAGGAATAATCGGATATTCATATGCCTTCCGATAGAAATTTGCCTTGAAATAATCTTAAATGTAATCATAAACATAGGCTCATATTGATACCATGGTTGTCAACGCATGTGCATACAGAAACCCATCAATCTGCCAAAGACGACGAGAACAAGTCTTTGACTCTAAATCAACCATCAAAGACCAATCCCCAATCACTTCTACAATTGTTGCACTTGAACGGTGAATAGACCAACACCTACCAACCTCTATTGCACCCTTCAAAGTCTTCTATATCTCTGGACAAAGAATTTTAGTCCACTTTTCAGCTTCCAATCTACGATTAGCGTTCAACACCATTAATTTCTATCGAATGCCTTCTAACAAGTGCAATACAAGCAATTCTCGAAACTCTAGAATCTAATTGTTGAATGACTACTAAACTATTAGCCATCTCACCATAGTGCGTCCCTTGAAAATAAGCATTAGAATAATGCTCTTTAGAGAGGTCAGTAATAAATAACTTCACTTTATCATTCCCTATATTCAACAATTAATCCATAGAGTTATTAAACTCGACTTCAGTCACAACATATGCACACGTTGAAAACAAATTTAGGACATTAGTTTGGAGTGTCTAATCATAGCCTGACTTCGGAAACTTGATTGACAGATTTTGTTTCAAATGGAAATAGCAATACGAGTGAGGCCAGTTATGAAAAATGGTTGAAACAACATTTAATAGTCCTGGGTGACTATCAGAGAAAAAAGTAATCGTTCTACCCATAGGCATCAAAATACTTGACAAATGCTAAAGAAACCAGGTCCAATTATCCTTTGTCTCGGAATCAACAATGCCAAAAGCTAGAGGAAAAAATCCTATAAGAAAAAAATAAAACAATAAAACAATAAATAACGATATAATAATGGATAAAAGCAAATAAATTATTTCTTGAAAAAAAACGCAATGTATATAAGCTCCACCCCACCCCAAAATTTCTAAAACCCTACACCAAAAACCACCCCCAAAAACTCATTCCATCTTCAACCCTTAGTATGCATTCTAAAGCCCTAAACTCTAAATCAACCCTAAACTTCTACTTCATATTGTAAAACAATAAACCTAAGCCAAAAGGCTCAACAAATACAACATAAACAAAAAAAATACTGCTTAATTATACCTTGATCTCCTTGCTTTCCACATGCTGCAATAAGGTGCCCTTGGTATTTACTCTTCAAGAATGTTGCATCAATAAACAACAAAGGAATGCAATATTTGAATCCCGCAATACAACCACCAAATGAGACAAAAAAATATTTAAAGTGTTGAGTTAATGGATCACATACTAGGACAAACAGAACCAGGATTTGTTGATTTAATAGCTTGCGCATACCAAGTTAACTCATTAAATGATTTAGACTCATCACCAAGAACTTCCAGCTTTGCCAACTCTTTTCCAAACCATGCATGGTGGTAAGAAATATCAAGCCCATAATATTCCTTAAACTCTTTTATCATCTCAATCAGTTTTAGTCCTGGTTTTGCACGAATCCTATCAACAAAAAGTGAAGACACAACTCGAGAACTCATCATCTTACTCTTAGATTCATGGATCTAACCGCAACATGTATGGACATTATTTAGTGTCTTGAAAACAAAGAAACCTATAGCTTGACAATAGGAAGCATAAACACTCCAACCACATCCATCATTATTTTTTTTGAAGCATGTAGCAATGATGCGACTTCTGTCATTGTTCAAATATACAAAACTAAAACTTACCTCAAGAGCATACTTACACAATTTTATACGAAAATGTTCTACTGCATCCTCAATTTTTTGCCCAACGTGATGAATATAATGCAACCATTCATTAGACAACAAAGCCTTGCTACTAGCTGTCTTTGACCTTCCCAAGAAGTTATTACGATCTTTGCAACTTGAATTTGTAGCACACTATGAAGAACTGCCATCGTTCCATTGTATTAGATCATTACCCATTGAAAAAACCTCACTACACACACTTACATCATTTACCAATTTATCAATTGATTTTGCCTTTTCTATTGCCAAACATGCCAACATCATATCAAAGTCATTCTCATTTTCTAGTACACAATTAGAATAATCCGACATCGAATACCTAAGCATGAAACTCCTCGTATGCAACTCCTTAAACCTCAAACGAATCACTTTGCAAACGTCAACAATTGAAGAACTATGTAAAACTGGAAACAACATAATTTCAATTATGTATGTACACTTTGCAATCACACAAAGCTCCATTACCCTAAAGCAAAAACAAAAGGATTGAAATCACTAACACAAAACATAAATAGACATTGTGATGAAGTTCCTACAAAACTGAAAAGATGCTAGTAACACTCAAAGAAAATCAAACGAGCACCAAAACTCTACCCAACGAACATCAAAGCTGTAATTAACTGAGAATTCGAAGAAGCTTAAATTTCAGAGCAACAAAGAGAAAACACAAATAAACAAAGAGAAAACCCAAAAACAATTGAATGCATAGAACATAATCGGGAAAAAAAAAAACACATACCTCAATTTACCAAATACCAAATATGGTTGATCTCCAAACACAACAGAAAACTGAAAATCTTAGAAGATTTTGAATCGTATGCATCAACCAAGCATCATGATTAAAGTTGCAGTTAAAATTGAAGAAAAAATTCCGTACCATTGAAGCTCTGGTGCGATTGTTCTCTATTGAACATGAGGCTCCCTAATAGTTCGTCTATTGAATGCAAGGCTTCTTCACGTGAATAAAGGGAGAGTTGTTGGGCAAAAACGTAATTTTATTGACTTATACCAAAATAATGTAAATAGTCCATTGATTAAGTCCAAAAGAAAACCTATGCATTGATCTATGGTTAATCAATAAACTTTTTATTGATTTATGGCTAAATTTCCTTATATATAACTCACTTTTCCAATGAATTACAGAAAAATTAAATTAAATTCAGAGCGGATTATAACTTTTGACTCCAAAATTTCATTAAAAATAACATTACTTCCTTATTTCTAAGTTTCTTAATTCTTTGTTTCTCTTATTCTTTATAAATGAGTAAAAAAAAAAGATCAGAAGCCATCTATATATGCGTTTTACATAAAAAAAAAAAGAAAAAAAAAACCATAACAATGGAAGTGATGAACATGTAAAGATTGATGTGCCCAATGGAATGAATGATTTAACAATAATATGCAAGTTGTGAAGTTGTATATTAACTTAGTGTGATCTGTTAGAACAGTACGTGATTATATTATTGGAAAAAGTTCAACTAATTTATATTCATGTATGAATTCGAATTTTCAGTATTAATTAAACTGGACACACCAATAATGTTAAAGGGTATCAAATCAACAAAGAAGAAGAAAGCTCCAATAATCAGGTAATTACGAGATCGAATCATACATGGTTTCGTTAAAGCTGTTTTAAAAGCATATGCATGCATGGTTGGTCCAACCACACCATGTGCCAAGCATGTACCGACGAGCCCTAACTACATACCCGTCCATTTATCTTATAAACAAATCATATAATCCATAGTTAATTGGAAGACAAAATATTACATAATTTTTAAGTTGATTAAGAAATTGATACAAGTACATTAATGAGTCAAGTTCTTGTTAGCTAGTTTTTTTCTTCTTTATCAATAGAAATCCTTTTGTTAGCTAGCCAATTAGTGTGTCATCAACACGCTCCGATCGAATAATTGAAGTCTCCATTGTTTCTTTATTATTTCCTTATAGTGTGTGTATATATATACCTCATAAATAAAGGCACTACATTATTTAAGTGTGATTGTGTAAATCCTAGATTATATTCTATTCTAGTTATTGTTCCCTATTAGAACTCGTAGTTTTTTGGAGGAGACTATAAATAAAGGCACTACATAGGGGAATAATACATCATTTACACAATCCTATAAACACATCTCTCTCTATATTTTCTCTATGCCGTCGGCCCTTCTCTCCTTGTCAGTTAAATATAGGTTATATATATATATACACACACACACACACACACATATAAGAAGCTTGAAGGGAAGGGAATCTCATTTCTTCTTTTTTTTGTAAAAGTAGGGATTAATTGTTGGGTCCACACCAATTGGCTAGCTAACAAAAGTGTTCGCCAATTTATTTGAATTCAATTAGATATCTTATATATTTCTGGTTTGGCTAATATTTTGTAAGGTGATGTATGAGGTGCAACTTGAAAAATAGACCGTTCGGATCGTTAAAGTTCATTGTGGTATGAGCTCTACAAATAATCTCTATTTTTATAAATAATAAAAAAAATAGAGATCCCTTCCCTTAAAGGTTATATATATATGTCTATAGTATACCGTGTATTATACAATTTTTATAATTTTTTGCACAAATTCATATATGAAAAACGTGGAGTTTTGGAAGACTAATTAAACTAATATTCAGAACATTTTATATTGGTCCTAGTCCCTCTCTTTGAGAGAGTATAAATTACTAACTTGACTGTGTAGTAGTCTCATCAAACACTAGCATCTCTAATCTCTTCCTCAAATATCAAACAAAAAACTTCTCCCTTCTCACAGCTCCCAAATGGCGAAGGTTCATTCTCTAATATTACACCGACTACTACATGTTCTAGTAACGAGTATATGACTTCAAAGAGGGAAACATTCACTATATGGATGAAATCGCTCGTGATGCAAGGAAACGGATGCACTGCCTTTGATGAAAATGGCGAACTCGTTTATCGTATAGATAACTACGACGACAAACACAGCAACGAAGTTTATCTCATGGATCTCCGCGGCAAACTTCTTTTTTCTCTATGTGAGAAGAAAATGAGCGTTTTTCCAAGTTGGAATGGCTATCAAAGCAATGATATTGATGCCAAGAAGCCAATTTTTCAAGTGAGAAAAAGTTGTAAAATAAATCTTGGAAATAAAGATTATTCTTATAAAGTAACCATGGGATCTGACAGCAATTGCTACAGGTTAGAGGGTTTGAATGGTAAATCATCATCACCAGCTTTCAGAATAAGAGACAACAATGGAGGAGTTGTGGCAGAGGCAAAGAGAAAGCAGTCAAGTTCAGGAGTAGTTTTTGGAGATGATGTGCTTACTTTGGTGGTGGAGCCTCATGTTGATCACTCCTTCGTCATGGCTCTGGTCACTGTTTATGGCTTAATTAGACATCAAATATGATTTTTAGAGCTGTCTCAGATACATATAGTTGTAGAAAACAGTAGAGTAGCATAGCGAAATAAATTTAGTTTGTGCTTTTCAATAACCAATTATTGGGTTTTTGTGAGAATTCAACACACACACACACACACACACACACACATATATATATATATATATATATATATATAGATTCAGCTAGCTTTTCTCGTATTTAACTTTCAGTCATAGTGATTAATTACTCATTCTTGATGGTCAATTAGTTAATTATCTGCCCAAAAAGATAGAGTCCAACTCTTTACCCTAAAAACTACCAAGCTTATGTGGCGCATAGGCCGACTAACTAATGAGCTAACTACGTCATTCGGTTGTATGCGGGCGTGCCAACTCATCGGCCGAGGAGTAAAATATGTTGATGTTGTGTTGAGCGCGCTGTTGACTTCTTAATCTTATGACTGTGGCCGAGGAAGGAACACGTCTTGGCCTTCGGGTTCCAGAGCCTAAAGACAAGGCTGTTAGTTTTGCGAAGTTCACGGATCGTTGGCACTGGGTTCCGTCACAGTGATTATATTCCTGAGAGTATAAGCACGCCGAACTGGCTCCAAACTATACGGACACAAGTACTCAAAGGAGATATATGTCTTGATGGTAAACATGGTTCGGCCGTCAGAATGCTGAACTCTAAACTCTACTTGTGAATAACCAATTATAAACAACTTGGCATTCAATGTGTCGAGCACAGTAATTTGTAACACCTCACTTCGCCAAGAAGGCTAATGAGATGACCTCTACCAATAAGGATTCGAAAATCCTTCTCAGTTGAGACTTGGATTGATAACCAGTCGGCCTCGACGCAGTGCTATTTATCCAAACTGAAGATTCTTCACGGTCGGTTGATTCTACGGTGGCAGTGTTGTTTATCCAAACTGAAGATGTTCGTCGGTTGCCTTCACAGTGCAGTTTATCCAAAATGAAGATGTGTTGGGGGAAAAGAAAATAAAAAATCTCAAGGTCGTTGAGAGGTTCCGCGTAGAGCGAGAGTTTGCGCAAGGCAGTTTTTGTGTTAAGTCCTTTTCGAATGACGCACCCCCTCCTATTTATAGCAGTCAATCTCCTCTTGACCATATCAGAACCATACTCGGATTAGGATTCTTTATCCTAATCCAACCAGGCCTCGATCAATTCTACCTCCACTAGGACTCTGAATAAAATTTTTTATCCGGCCACCTTTACTTCTCAAATCTCAACATCCTTATTCCATTAAGACTCTTTATCATACTAGGACTCGACCCATTCGCACTAATCCAAATTATCCTTTTTGCAATAAGATTCGATCGCCCTGACTGGGCAGCCCATGACCCTTGGCTGGCCCACAGTATTTTCGAAAAAGCTTTGGACCGAACCTAAACCTATGCTCGGCCTAATAATATTACTTTGGGCCCAAACATTACCCCCTCACTTTTGAGGCTTTTGGCTTAGAACTCCTTAGCCGAGTTTCGACCTTGAAGAAGTGAACCCTAGGTATTTGAAAAGTTTCCAATATTCCGTCCATTGGGTGCATTCATGAAACACAATTGCACGGTCCTAATGTTGTCAGACTTCCTGCCACGTGGCATCTTCTAGGCACGTCTGTCCTCTAATGATGACACTTGAAATGTGCGTGCAAACGCTAAACATCACTTCGTCATTAATTATGCTGCTACACATACCCACGCCACCTTGAAGCACGAATTGCTATGTCATCGAATCGTCCTTTCATTATCAAAATCGCTGCCACACTTTACCACGTCGCCTCAATCCCTGAGTTCTCTGGTCCCTTCACACGAGTTTCCCGAATCTCCATAAGGATTGAGAAAACTAACTGCTTGATTTTACCATTTCTTTTCAAAATCGAACGATTGACCTCCTTCTAAAACTCTTATAAATACCCAAAATCCTTTATTTTCCCATTTACGCTCTCAGAACTCTCAAACCTTTTATTCCTAGATCAACCTACAAAAACTCATTTCTAACCAGAAAATTTCCTCCAAGTCCAAAGTTCTTCAAGCTGTCAGCTATGGCTTCTAACACCTTCATCTCCAAACTTTCCGACAAATGTGCTAAGTGAAGGGACTTCATTGACCGGAGCGCTATAAAAAACTTGCGATTCGAAGGTGACTCGAGCACTTCTCACCAGATCCTGGGATCACTCTTTAAAGACAATGTCCCAGCGTCCATTACCAACCTTCTCAAAGACAACTGCCTGAAACCTTTGTTTCAAGGATATGACTGGTCGAAGTGGGAATTAACCAAACCCCAAGGAACCTGGCCTTCCACTACTGCGGCCTAGGTAGCGTGGGTCTATGATGCGAATAATATAAGCACACAAATTAAACCCTCTTTTTGACAATTGTAGCAAAGTATGTAAGTAGGGATCGTTCTAAACCGGGGATTAGGAGGGCTTGCTAAAACCTCTAAACTGACTCAAAAACAAAAAGAAACAAAGTTAAAAATGTAAACAAAAGACTTTAAAACAAGAAAGTAAAAGGGGGATTTGAGTTTGGTGAAGTTGAAAGTAAAAACGAATAAACTAAAAACTTAAATAGATTTTAAACAAATTTGGGTTGAATGGATAATGGAAGGCTAGCTAAGGGGTTCTTCTCCACACACATGTCTTGCTTGCATACAAAATGATTTCCAATTGCTCTTCGATAAGTTATGAATACTCAACGCCCCAAATTACCGTGAATTGCACTAATTAACTCTCAGTTTTTCAACAAGTTATTAGATTGGATGATTGCATACGACAACCCAAAACATTCCCTACAAGTTCCCTACATGAATTGCATAATAGAGATACAAGCAAGAATCATTAAGTTCTATGAAAAACATAAGCATTGACGAGGCACTCGTTACTATGATTTGCATGAAACTTATGCCAAGAATTTACTTAACGTGATTGTGACTAGCAACCTTCACTACTTGTGAATATAAGTTCATAACGATTAGGTGAAACTCCCTTATATTCTAGCGTCAAATTCATGCATGAAAATTAAGCGTGCACTCTCAACCAACATACACAAATTAGTTTTTATACGAACGGATAAGTAAATTGAATTCACAATTCAAGAAACGCAATTGGAAGTAATCAAATCATATAGCAAGCATAAACATGGTTTTTGAATCCCCCCCTAGCCAAGGGGGGTTTAGTTCCTCATTATTACAAAACAAAGATAAACAAATTTAACCATTGAAAAACAAAGGGAAGAAAGCACCTAAACGTTCCAACGATCCATGTTGGATAGCAAGCGCGTCCAAGGACTTTTCTCCTTCTCCTTGCCGCCACAACAAGGTTGGAATGATGTTGAAGGGTTGGTTATTTGGAGGAATGGATGGGAAGGGGTTTAGATATGTAGGAGAGGCAAGGAAAGGCTTGGAGAATGGTTAATTTCTGGATGATTTTTGAATGAGGTTGCTGCCATGGTATTTATAGGAAGAGGATGGACATGTTTAATGCAAAAATCTGGTGGAATGAAGTAGGTAAGGCATGGCAAGGTGGAGAATTGTTGGTGAGGGTAGGTTTTGAGTCATCCACTCACATGTCATGGTGAGTTAAGCATTGCATCATCCACTCAAATGTCATGGTGAGTTAAGCATTACATCATCCACTCAAATGTCATAGTGAGATAGGCATTGCATCATCACTAAAAAAATCTGGTGGAAGTAAAACAAAGGGAAGGCCACGGCATTGATGAATTTTATGGGGTATGCATGGTTTTGAGTGAAGTTTTGGCCAATCCTTCTAGAAATTTATCCCTTCTTGCAACTTGTATTTGTTTCACCATATTTTTAGCATGTTCCTAGCCTCTTTTGTCTTCAAATTCGTCCATCCATCTTGCTCATATCATATGTAATCCATTACAAGCTCAAAACTGCTCCAAAATGCACCAAAATGCACTTTCTTGCTACCTTAGCCCTTTGGACCTACAAACACACGAAAATGGCTTAAAAGTACTAAAATAACTAAGAACTAATAACGTAAATGCAAGAAAACTAGTTAACTAAGTCGCATAAATATGCGTCTATCAAATTCCCCCACACTTAGCTATTGCTAGTCCTCGAGCAAAATAAAACAAATAAAACATAACCTAACCTTCCAACATTTGCCTTAGGGATTTCCAATGCACATGACATGTTAAAGATTATCATTCCCACATAATTGAGTCAATTTAACACTTAAGCACATACTTAATCATAGTCACTACTTACTAATTCACAATTAACCAATTAAAACAATGTTTTGAATGTAGTAACATGCCTTAGAGAATTCCCTCAATCCTTACAAGATACGCACTCTATTTTCACTCAGATTTTCTAACTACACACCCTATACTAGTTATATGTGAGAGAATTGATGTAGATATAGAAACGAATGCTCACATATATGTATAACAAAGAACACAATTTCTAGAGTTAATAAGCATGTTGAGATATGATCTCATGAATGGAATGCTACTACTTAGATGCGAGAACCAGTGACCATATGCTCATACCAAGTTCAATCTCCACAAATTGAAACACATAACACTCAAGATAGAAGTCAAGGGTTGTAACGGGGCTTGGGGTATTGGCTAACAAAGAAAGGATAAGGAAAACAAACGTTCTTAAAGTGATAGTAAGCAAAGTAATGAAATTGAGACTTAGAATTTACTTAGATTGCAGAAATTAGCTTTAAAACACAAGGGGAAGATTTAAACAACTCCTTAGGGTCGAATTCATTGTTTTGGACCCCTTCTTCATTAAACAACACTTTAGAACTCTTTTTTCACTTCTTTTCAACTCTTTTTCGCATTCTTTTCACATTTTTCTTTTTTTTTTTTTTTTTTTTTCTTTTTACTCGTGCCTATGGCACATAATTCCTTATGAAAAACACTTCCCCCACACTTGTTTTCTGCCACAAAGGAATTCAATTTGAATCATGCTTTACTACGCTTTAAGAACAAGGTTAATGGATGGTCCTAATCTAAGCTAGGTGAGGGTAATGTGGGTTACAAAGAAAAGGCTCACAAAGCTCAACGGGATTAAAAACGTACAAAACATAATGACATAGGGGATTCACGGCTTTTTGGTTATGGTGGTGGTCACTACACAACTTTATCTTGAATATGTGTTATGCAAATCAATGACATGCTTTGAATGAAATGGGTATGAGTTCTAGCATTTGGAACTAAATGATGAAACGCCTTTTAAGTAGTAACCAAGCAAAGAATAATGAGATCATGCAACGACTTAGAAA